GGAGCACCCAAAGGAGCAACTGGGGGGTCTCTGGGGGTGGGGACACCCCCGTGACGGCCGCGGTGTCCCCAGGACGAGCCGGGCGCCCAGGCCATGCTGAGCCGGCACCTGGGGCTGGAGCAGGAGCTGCGCGACTACGGCGGCACCGTGGAGCTGCTGGCCGAGCAGGGCCGGGCCATGGCGGCCAGCGGCCACCCCGACGGGTGGGACACCCTGGGGACACCCTGGGGGACACGCTGGGGACACCCTGGGGACACCCTGGGGGACACCCTGGGGACACCTTGGGGACACCCCGGCCGCTGCGTGCACGGCCAGCATGTCCCCTGTCAGCCCTGTCCCAGTGCTCGCTGTGCCCTGAGGTCCCTGTGTCCCATTGCCAGGTCCTCCAATGTCCCCAATGTCCCCATGACCCCTGACACCTCTGTCCCCGTGTCCCTTGGGTGACACCGCAGCTCCCGGGTGACACTGCTGTCCCTTGGGTGACATCACTGTCCCCATGTCCCTTGGGTGACACCACAGCTCTCTGGGTGACACCCCTGTCCCTTGGGTGACACCGCAGACCCCGGGTGACACCCCTGTCCCCTGGGTGACACCCCTGTCCCCTGGGTGACACCGCTGTCCCCTGTCCCTTGGGTGACACCACAGCTCCCTGGGTGACACCCCTGTCCCTTGGGTGACACCCCTGTCCCTTGGGTGACACTGCTGTCCCCATGTCCCTTGGGTGACACCCCTGTCCCCTGGGTGACACCCCTGTCCCTTGGGTGACATCACTGTCCCCTGTCCCTTGGGTGACACCACAGCTCCCTGGGTGACACTGCTGTCCCTTGGGTGACACCGCTGTCCCCTGTCCCTTGGGTGACACCGCAGACCCCGGGTGACACCCCTGTCCCTTGGGTGACATCACTGTCCCCTGTCCCCTGGGTGACACCGCTGTCCCCCGTGCAGCGAGCGGCTCCGTGCCCGCGCCGCGCAGCTGCAGCGTCTCTACGCGGGGCTGTGCCACCTGGCTGAGGAGCGCAGGGCCACCCTGCAGGGCCACCACCGGCTGTGCCAGCTGCGCCGCGACCTCGACGACCTGGAGCAGTGGATCTCGGAGCGAGAGGTGGTGGCGGCGTCCCGGGAGCTGGGGCAGGACTTCGAGCACGTCACGGTGAGGGGACACGGTGGGGACACGGGCACTGTGAC